GGGGGGGGGGGGGGGGGGGGGGGGGGGGGGGGGGGGGGGGGGGGGGGGGGGGGGGAGCATCGAGGTGAGATTTCCCTGGGGCACCCTTATTTATGGCGACCCCTGGTGGTCTGAAAAGCGCGGTCGGCCGTGGCTTTCGTCTTGGCGGTAGCCTAGCCTCACACCAAAGGTTCGGCGGCGCTGTGAAGCCATCACGAGAGTTACCGGGCAGGCGTTACTCCCGTTGTTTTCGGACCTAAAAAGTAGCGGGGACGGCGGGAATGGTTTGATGGAGTAACGCGTGCTGCTGCTTAGAGACGCAGCCCACGCAAAAAGCACCACGGAATGTGCTTGACTGCTTTTCCAACACACGAAAACGTTCTTTCGCGAGAGCCGGGCCGGCCGGTAGCGACAGTTGTATTTGGAGCGCACACACATGCGGTACTGACGAGCAAAAGTCTCGTCGCTCCCCCGTCGCCACCGACCCCGACTTTGGCCATACATCACTTCGGTTCCCTCGCTCTTTTGTTGGCCTTACACCGGGCCGACCGAAGGTTTTCGACGACTACGTAAACGAGATGGACAAGAGCTCCACCCTCCTCACGAGCCTGCCGACGCCCGTCTTCTGGTACGGCCTCGTCGTCGGGCAAGAGTTCTCCATCTGCCCGGCGAACCCGGCCGACCTGCTCCTCAAGGACGGAGACGGCGGCGACGGATCGACGGAGGTAAAGGTCAGGCTGGAGCGCGTCGGCCCGGCGAAGAAGGGGGGCATGCGGACGGTATCGTTTACCGTTGGGGGTGCGGTGCAGAACGTCGAGGTCAAGGACTCCGTGTCGGGGAACGACTTCGACGGGCCCATGGCGGGCGCCGGGAACGCGCTTGAGGTGGGTTGTTATTGTCGTTGCAGTCGTGAGTGCGATATACGAGGGTGGTGTGACAAAGGTCCTCGACCGTCTTGTATCGGAGCCCCCTCTTATTATACCGAAATGAGAGGACACCCAACTATCAACTATGCTATAGCGTGTCCAGCCCGTGGCAACCGATTTCGGCCCAATGTCGGAGCCCCCTCTTGCAAGGTAGCGTCTTGTGTCGGAGCCACGACTACATCGGTTGTAATGACGATGCTTTACGTGCAGCCTCTGTTTAGTCCGGTGTACACAGGTGCGTGCATGTGTGAGAAAGTTTCTTTGTCCCAAGCGTCCGGTAGATCCCCTCTCCTGGTACTCCCTCTTCTCCAGCACAGCGCGTTAGTAGTTGGGCGTGTTTTTTTCCTCACGGTTGTAGCCCGGCGCTCCTCTCGCTCCGTCCCTCCTTGCACACGTTTTTTTGTTTTTTGCTGTCGGCGGTGATCTCAGGTGGGGTCCCCCATGCCGGGAGTCGTCGAGAAGGTTCTCGTGGAGGTCGGGTCGTCCGTCTCGGAGGGCGAGGTGGTGGCGGTGGTTAGCGCCATGAAGATGGAGGTGCAGGTTAAGGCGACCACCGCGGGCACCGTGGCATCGCTGGCGGTCGAGGAGGGGGGTAAGGTGATCGAGGGGGCGCTTATTGCCACGCTAAAGGAGTAAGAGCAGGCGCGTTGTACCAAGCTTTTTCCTGAACAAGGTCGTCGCATTCTTGATTTGAAGTATTAAGTTCAGCTATTTTGGTGAATCGAGGAGTTATTGGGGGGTGGCGGGCAGGATCGTCTTGCTTTAGTTGTGGCGTGTAGTCTACGCTGACGTGTTTCTGGTGTTGCTATCGGTCTCATGTTATTGAGACGGAGTGTTGTGTTTTGTCGCCATCGTCACAAGGTCTTGCGATTCCGTGTGTGGGGAGCGGGGAGAGGGGGGTCGGGGAGGATGAGGAGATCATAATGGACGTGATCGTATGCGTTGGACGTGATCGTATGCGTTGGTCCCCTGTTACGTGCCCGGTATGCGGAAGGATAGCAGTGAAGACCTGTTGTCAAGAACGTGAGGTGTTTTTTCCTTGCTTTTTGTTTATGGAGGTGTTTTCGTGTGGTTTCTTGTTATCATTGGCGCCATGTTCGTATTGTTTGTTTTGTACATACGGTTGTTCGTCGGGTGGGTAAACGGTAATTCAACCCCGTCACAGGGCCCCACGTAGGGAAGGCCCCGAAGTTTGGTCAACATTAATCTCGGATCCCTTCACATCCACGGTGTTAGCCCGATTGTTATGCGTTGGTTCATGTACACGTGCCACCCCGTATGTTATCTAGCCGGCTTGCCGAGCGCATCTATACTCTGGGTGGATGTGTAGTCGATTGGAAAGAAAATACTGCCTGTTTTCGAAGCATGAAAGGTAGAGAAGAAAGTGGTTGCTGGCGTCTGGGTTCTTGGGCCTCCACAAAAAACGAGAAGGATTTTGTAAGAAGTGTCGTGAAATCGATCATCAGGGACCAATCAGTTGGACCAATACACACAGACACATTTTTTGCTTTCACCCGCACTGAGACTGACATCTTTTCATCATGTTGAGCCAGTTAACGCGGTCGATTCTAATAATCAAAACACACACACACATCTCCCTTGCCCAATTCGTGTGAGATCACCACTTCCACCACGCACGCTCAGTAGCGTGGTGGAAGGTAGTAGCAGCAGCAGCAGTAGTAAAGTGATGGACTGACGTGGAATCGCTTTGCACTGGAGCCTCCAGTCGCATCGGCAATGAGCGGTGTCATGAACCAAGATTTGGCACCACCATCACCCGTACCTGGACCTGCGCCACGATGCCCAACGGAAGTACGGTATTCATGTCCTCTCTGCATCAGCGAAGGATCAACGAACCTGACGGCGAGGAATCTGGCTACACACCAAAAACGTCAGCATAAAGGTCGAGGAAAAGAGCTACTACTCAGTTTGTCTCCTCCTGGATCCTTGCGCTCGAGCAGCCAGGCACCTGGTTACGCCGCATGTGGCACATGCGGCGACCTTTTCTCTCCACGCACCAAGCATTGTTGCGAACCAGGTACTACATCATCTCCATCTCTCTCTGGGTCGTTGCAGCCACCGCAAGGGGATGATGACGACAGGCGGCAACTCCTATTATTACCGTGGGACCTCAATGACGTCAGCAGTGCCCTGGATCAGGTTCGACAAGATACTCTTGAAACGTCAATTTTTTCGACAGTCAAACACGACGATCCGCAACTGGCGAAAGTATTTTGCAAACACTTCCAACATGTCGTCATCCTCTTCGTGCAAGCATTTGGAGCTGTACACATAGATCAGTAGAAGTCAGATACCTCAGATCTGTCTCCTCTTGCAGCGGAAAGATATGAAGTAGCACGTGTTGAAAGACAACTCCAACTTGTCCGAGCAACAAAGTTGCTTCATCTTACCCCAGCATTGCATGGATCGACTGATGGAAGGATGAACAGGGTATCCCGATTTAACCGCTTTGCAAATGGTGATCTGAGTGAACCTATCGCCTGGCTCATGATGTACGAGAAGAATCGTCGACTTCAGTATTATGCGGATACTGAAGACAATCGCCAAAGAAGAGCCACAAGACTTGCGCATGAAAGAGGAGGCATCACGAAATCTGCCAGTGCCTTAATCTCCCCAGCACCTTCACCGCGAAACAACGACAAACACGCTGGAGCATCTACGCAACCTACACCCTAACGAAGATCCTGACGATATTGCTACTGCGTGGGCTTCCAGCATCAAAGTTGCGGGAGATCGTATAAAAACGCACAAGATCGACTCCGTCGCCGAAGCTGACCCATTCAAAATCAAGTTCATCAAGCAGACGGTGAAGAAAGCCAACCCTCAGAGTGCTCCGGGGCCTGATGGTCTTCGTTTTTCGTATCTCCAAGCTGGTGGGATGAGTGATTTTTTTACTGAAACCTTGGCGGACTTCAGCTTTAAAGTCTTTTGCTATNCGGGAGATCGTATAAAAACGCACAAGATCGACTCCGTCGCCGAAGCTGACCCATTCAAAATCAAGTTCATCAAGCAGACGGTGAAGAAAGCCAACCCTCAGAGTGC